AGAGAGAGAGAGAGAGAGAGAGAGAGAGAGAGAGAGAGAGAGACCCCATTCACACATACATGCAAAAGAGAAAAAATGGTATCAGGACCTATTTGTTAAGTGCATATGAAAACACTGGTGGGAAATGTCACAACATTAGCAGGCTTGAGACTCTGTCAGCCAGGGACTTAGGGGTAGTTCACTTAGCCTTTGACCTACTCCTGCTTTGTGCACCAGACCAGGGGTGGCATTGGCAACAGAGCGGGCATCCTTGAGGCAAATCCTACTTGCCCTGGTGGATGAGGCAGGTTCACCCACAGGCTAACAGGCTGGGGCCTACATCTCACCTCCTTATCCATTGTCTCCAGTGGTGCCATCCACACTGTTCTGTGGTCCTCACGACAGTCCTGGAAGGGAGATGTCCGCATGACTGAGGTTTGCAGATGGATCAGAGAAGCCAGTCAGCCAGCGGGCTGTGAACAAGTTTCCAGATCCCCTGTCTCCGTGTGGCTCACATCGTCCCACAACCCCACGCTGCTCAGCTGGTTAGCCACGCCATCTCTGAATCCACAGCTCTCCTGCAAACGCCCCCAGAAGGCCCACATAAGTAGTACCTCATTTTCTTAGGGGGAACCCAACGCCTTTCATTAGGGGATAAAATCAGGACTTGAGACATTGTCCTGGCTCCTTTTCAGTAAACATGGAAACTCACCTGTAAAACATGCAGTTCCAGTTCCAGGTCCTGGAAAGACAAATGTGTTTTCTTCTCCTTCATCTTTTCTACAGAGATTTGGCCACAGAGATTTTTTTTTAACTTTTGGGGTTTTGTTTTCCTGGCAAATACATAAGACCAGAAAAACCACCTCCTAGCTCCCAAGGCCTGCCCTTTCCTCGGTCTCCTCTGGAGGTCAATTCTGAGTCTGTCGGGACAGCCTGTTCTGACCTCCACTGGCCCAGTGAGACACAGCCCTCCCCCCAACTCCATCCGTTTGTTCTTCAACACACTTGCCTGATAAATGGCACAATTTTTGAAGTATAGATTTTTAGAGTCCCCCCCTTCCTCCTCCAGATTGTAGAATGGTTCTAGTGACCCCCAAATCCAGGGGTTCACACTCTTGTGCAATTCCCTCCTCACTCTCTGAGGTGTGGACAGGATCTGTGGCTGTCACCATTGTAATTAGAGTGCATAATTGTACTTACATATACTTCACTATGTAGCCCAGGCTGGTCTCGAACTCTCTATCACTCCGCGCATCAGCCTACCAATTGCTGGGATCATTGGTGTGTGCCGCCGCCACATCGGGTTGTCTTGAGAGAACTCTTTTACAGATTTGGACCGAGCGTTCTGCCATGCTTACCAGGAACAGAGGGCAGGATCCAATGAGGAGGCCACAAGGAATCGAAGCCCTAGTCCCACTGACTTCTTCCACCAACCATAATACGACCTTGAAAGTGAGTATCCCACCCTTGAACCTTCATCAGGGACCTCGGCTCCTGGGAACAGCCCGACAGCAGCCTCCTGGATGATCCTAAAGCCCAGCACCCCATTCAGCCGTGTCTGGCTTCCTCCCGGCACAGAAAAACTCAAGATAACAGGATGTGTTGTTTGAAGGCCCATAGCTGTGGTGACTTGTTACAGAGCAGCAGGCAGCAAATGGACTCTCCTGTGTCTCATTAGTCCCTTGCTCTTACCTGCCAGAGAACTCAGAGTCTCAATTTGTCTCCGCTCCGGCCTCGGTTTTCTGTCAGTCCCCACAGCGTTCATTTGTGTCAACAGTGTCTTCCGGTATCAGTCGGGGCCCCTTGGTAGTGAGGACTCACTCAAGCAGCTTGACTGGAGAATGTGTGCGGGTTAACCCAGCCAACGTTATGTGGGGTATCAGGGTGACCCTAAGCCACAGCAGAGGGCCATTGTTACCACGCCCTCCGAGCACGAGGGGATGGCCGCAGAGTTTGATGAGGGCCAGCATGGAAGGCAGGTTTTCTCCCGCGCTTTCGGGCAGAGGCTGGACGGTACAAGAAAGTACCTAGCTTCCCTTCCCTTCCTTCAAGCTCTTGCTAAGTCTCCCTTTGGGTAAACGTGTCCGGAGGTTAGAGGTCCAGGGTGACGTGGGGAGGGCACAGGGCAAGAGAGAAGCTGTGGCAAACAGATCTGGGCGGAGGAACAATCATAGAAAAATCGCTCCTCACCGAGCCCTCTGTTTGCCTTGCTCAGCTCCAGTCAGCATAGCGAGCGAGCCTCTGCCAAAAGCAACCTCCATTTAGACACACCCCATGGCCCGGCGTACAGTGCAAAGCCCCGATGTACCACACCGCCATCGTCTTGGCTTTCTCTGGGGAGGCCTGCTGCCATGCTGAGGCCACTCAAGCAGTTCTGTGGGGAATGCATGTGTTGAGAAAGGACCCCTTTTTTTCCCCCGACCATGTTCAGCTTGTGTCAGTGTGTTCCAGTGTGTTCTAACCTCCTGTGACTCCCCCCGCCACAACTCTGTTTTGTATGTTCTAGAAGACCCCGCCATCATTTTCCCACACAGAAATGACACCACTCATCCTGTAGGGCTGTCTGTGGCTCCTCCTCAGGGTAACTGCTACTGTCTGCTGGCCCAAGGAGGTTTCATCCTGGCGTTTATTTCCACTTCTCTAAAGGGCAACCCCCGCGTCTGTAGCATGGGCCCAGAACGTTCTAACGACCGAAATTCACATTTCTCAGCTCTGGGTACAAGTGGGGTCAGACTGATAAGAGTAACTCAGACTTCACCTTCACCACAAGCTGGAGGTCCTGCTACATCTTAGTGATCCCCCTGATCACGGATAACAGCAGCTCAGTCGCAGCCCAGTCCTCACCTCTCTGGCCCCTTGGGGTCAGGTATCACTGTTTCCCGGGCCTTGAGAGCCTGGCTCTGCATCCTCATCTCTGCGGCTTCTTCTGTGACCTCACCGCTGTGCCCCTCGGCACGCCGTTTCTTGGCCCTGCGCAGGTGCGAGCCTTGTGGTACCAGCCCAGTTCCCTGCAGCTTGCTTCAGCAGAGCCCTGTGGCCCTCGGCGGCCCCTCACCGCCTCTGCCCTGTCATTCACAGAGGTCTTAAAGCAACACATGCTCCTGAAAATCAATCCTTTGACCTTATCTGCAGGCTCCGGGGCTTAGAAGGGACCCGGTGTGGGGCTGGGGTGGGAAATGGACACCTTGCTGTCTTTTTGCAATCTTCATCTTCTCCAGGGAGACTCCTTCCTTCAAGAGAATTGACTCATGCGCCTGGATGCTTGCAGGTTCCCTAATCCACCAAATCACCAGGCTTAAATGGATTCCATGGCTTCATTTGCCTGCCACAGGGAGCTCTGTCTATCCGTATGTCCAGCATGGTGTGTGGTATGTGATAAACCCACCGGGTGATGCCCATCATCACTCAGAGAGATGGACCAGGGATTTCTTACCCTTCAGTAAGAAAATTAAAGTAAAAAATTTGGCTGTGGGCCAAATGCAAGTCTTGGCTTTGGGACTTGATCCTAACCCTGTGCTTTTCTCCTTTTTTTTTCTTGAGTAGGGATTTTGGCTCATTTAACTCTGTGTCCTCGACGATCAATAGAACTTTAATGAACGTCACTTTTGTCTTTTAAACAAGGACCTCACTAGGTAGGCCTGGCTGGCCTTGAACTCTCAGCCATTCTTCTGCCGCAGTCTCCTGAGGCGTGAGAAGACCAAGTGTGAGCCATGAGCCCTGGCTTGACTACAGGTTTGAATGGAGGTCCGTTTGCTGTCTGAGATGGGTCTCTCCAAAGGCTGGAAGACAAGGTTCAGATGACGGTGGTTTATGTGAGAGCGGGAAGAGAGAGGCCGGTGAACGGCACATTAACGCATGAGTTCCTGTTGAGGGCCAGTCAGCTGGGTCCCGCAAGAGATCCCCGAGGAAGCTCGTGGAGCCCTTTGGAGTGACCCACCAGCAAACATCGAGGTGTGGAGAAGCCGCTGGAGAACTGTCATCCCTGCTAATTAATCTCTGCCTCCCAGGAGACTTGTGTACTGGTGCTTCGGGGCTGTTCCTGGCATCAGAGGGCACTCTGTGTATGAGAACCCCTCAGGGGGAGAAGCAGAGTGTGGCAGGTGTGCTGAGAAGCTGTCATGGGGTTGAAGATGGCCGACTTGCCAGGCAGACAGAGGCAACTCTGGTTGTGGAGGGGATGGACCAGCCATGAGTCTGCTCCCCTCAGCCTCCTGGACACACAAATTCATTATTCTCCATTTAAATACACCTGCTTCTGGGAGCAGTGTTATCTTAGAGGCAAGCTACATAAATGGTTTTGGAATAAACAAAGAGTCTATACTGAGTTTTTTTGTTTTTGTTTTTTTTAATTTGATTTGTTTATGCTTTTTTAAAAACTTTTTTCCTGTGTTGGGAATCGAACCTATGGCCTTACTCATGCTAGGCAAGTGCTCCATCTCTAGCTCTTGTCATTAGTTTTAACAATCGTTTATGGAACCTTTGTTCTCCAGAGAGTCCTGCTTCAGACAATAAACTAATACACAGTAACGTATTTAGACACCCGCTGCGACCACCCTCGCTCCCATCATTAAGGGCTTACTGTGTATGTGCCCTGCATCCGTCTCGCCGGCATGAACCCGGACTGCGCTGTCTGGAGCCGGCCACGTCCTCACTAGACAGGAGAGCTACAGGCTTGGAGGCTGAGTTGAGGCGGAGGGCACTTTTTTCTCAGCACCTTGCAGCCTGCCTCCCTCCCTGTCCTTGGAGAGATTTTGGCTTGCCCACTTCCCAGGGTTTCAGCTCCTCTGCATTTCCCAGGTTCCATCTCTGTTCTTCTGTGGCTCAAGGCTGTGCCTGATCCCTGGTCACCCGGGACCTTGGCCTTCTTCTCAGGCTGCAATCTCCTTTTCCTAGAACTAGATCTAGCTCTCTGATCTTTCTCTGACATACATCAGGTATTTCTTATCCTCCCCCTTTCCTTTCCCTTCCTTCATTCCGCCCCTCCCCTCCAATCGGATATTTCTCTGTTTTGAATGTACTTATCCAAAGTCATACCCAGATCAGTCTCTACCAATGAGTTTTAGGAGGGTGGAGTCTACCAGCTGTGATATCTGAAGTGGGACCTTTGGAAGATAATCTAGGTTAAAGAAGGCTACAAGGGTGGGGCCCTAGCCCAGATGTAACTGGGGCTTTCTAAAAGAGGAGACATGAAGTAAGGCATTTTTGTCTTGCTCTGTGATGCAATGAGAATCTCACCAGCTGTGACCCCTTGACCTTGAACCCCCTTAGTCCTCAGCACTGCAAGCAAAAATAAAGCATTGTGTGTGTGTGTTTTTTTTTGCAAATTACTCTGCGGTTTTTCAGTTACAGTAACAAAACAGACTGAGACCAGGCCCTCACATATTTGCCAAGAAGCCCCCACTTCACGCCCCTGCTTGACGCAGACCCTGTGAGTCCAGCGCCAAGTGCGTCTGAGTTCGCGATGCCGTTGGCCGTGCAGCTGGACTCTCAGCCCTCGCCTGTTAAGGTTTACCTTCTACTATCCCAGTGACTGTCTCCCGTTTGTGTCGGGAACAGGTCTTGGATTTCCTGGTGCCCTTGTGAACCCAGGCAGAACCTGTATTATACCAAGCTTCGATACAGAGTGTGCTGAAAAAAAAAACGGGAATCAGCCTCAGGGTACAGAAATGACATCTATGAGACCAATCCATTACTGAGAGACCCACTCATTCATAAAAACATCCCTGAACCATGCAGGAGCACAGCTTTAGAATCCAGCACGTAGTTGTGGTGTGAATGTGCCGTGTCCTCACCGGCTTTGTGTCGGATAACCTGGTCTCCAGCTTGGGGCACTGCTTGGGGGAAGTTGCGGAACCTTTAAGAGGTGGAGTCTGGCTGGTGGGAGGGGCTCACTGGGGGCGGGCCTTCCGGGCCCTACTTGTGGTCCTATTTTCTACTTCTTGGTGAATGAGCTTTGGTCCCATGCGCCCCTGCACTGAGCGCTCCTCCATGGAGTGAACAAGCTTTGATCTCCTGTGCACAGCCACTGAGCACTCCTCTGTCCCCTGACTTGATGAAGTGAAATCCCCCTGGATCTAGAAGTCACAAGACAGGTTCCTTTCTTAAGGATTTGTGACAGTTGCCCGTGACAGTACTTTTGCCCCAGCGACGAGAAAGGTGACTAATGTACTTATCTTGGAGTTTTACTGACTCTGGAGCTCGTCGGGAAGTACATCCCCTCCAGCTCCGGCAGCCAAGAAGGGGAGAGTGGAGATCATTAGGCCAATTCAGCTCTCACTCAAGCAAAGCGGATTCCGTCCATGGACAATTTCTAAGTGTTAGGTTCTAAGTTCTATGGGACCCTGTAGTCTTTCTTGTCGGACTTTCTTTGGACCACTAGCCCCCAAATAATGACATGGAGACTTAATTATGAAATCTTGGCCTTAGCTTAGACTTGTTCCCAGCTAGCGCTTATAACTTAAATTAACCTGTAAGCTGTTTCTATTAATCTACTTTCTCCCACATGGTTCTTTACCTCTCTTTTGTTCTGTATGCCTGATGCCCTCAGTGTCTTGCTAGTATCTCCCTCACCAGATTTTAACCCTGAGTTCCTCCCCCCAGGAGTCCTACCTATCCTCTCCTGTCTAACTACCAATTATTCAGACCATTCAGCTCCGCATTAAACCAATCAAAAGGTGCTTTAGCAGAGACACATCTTCACAGTGTACAAAAAGATTATCGCACATCAGGAGCCTGCTTCTGGAGGCAGTTCTGTGATGATGTATCATTTTGTGAGCAGTTTGGGGCAGCTTAGGTCTGTGCTGCAGGGCTAGGGAGCAGAAGTCCTCAGCCATGCTCCACCTCCTAAGTTAGAAGAGGGATTATGACCTAAGAGGGATTATGACCAGTTACCCAGATACCTGTCTAACTGTCAGCTGGTTCTCAGCCACAGGGGAAGCAGGAATGTGGGATATTAGGCCTTCTCAAAATTCATCACGTGGTTCCAGTTTCATGGGGTTGGGGATTCGGTGGATCTTTAGGATAAGGTCTGGGGGCTGTCCAGTTGGCTCAGCTGATAAGGATGCCTGCTGCCAAATCTAACCGCCTGAGTTTGATCCCCAGGCCCCACACGATTTAAAGAAAGAACTGACTTCCACGAATTGTTCTCTGATCCTCTGATGTCCATACACTATGGCTTAGGAACACACACACACACACACTATTACACACACATACTATTGCACGCACACACACACATATGCAATAAAAATTTTAGAATAAGTCTGGAACTTAGTAAGAGTGACCCAAAATGTTAGCTATTGTTGTGTTAATAATAAGAGCAATAGTATCAGAAATAGTATGTTTTCTTAATTGAATTTTATTAGAATATGTAAAATCATACATAATAGATTTTGTCATGACATTTTCACACTTTGTATAATGTGCTTTGATCGTATTCACCTCTCATCACCCTCTCTGTTCCCTCCCACCCTGTCTGAGTCAGGGTTCCGATTGCTGTGATGAAACGCGGTTACCAAAGCACCATGAGGGGGAAAGGGTTTGTCTGGCTTCCTCTTCCTCACCACTGTTCATCACCAAAGGAAGTCAGGACAGGAACTCAAGCAGGGCAGGAGCCTGGAGACAGAAACTGACACGCAGAGGCCATGGAGGGGTGCTGCTTACTGGCTTGCCCCTCACGGCTTGCTCAGCTGCTTTCTTATAGAACCCAGGACCCCTCCCCCCCAGGGATGGCACCACCCACAGTGGGCTGGACCCTCCCCTGTCAATCAACTAATTAAGAAAATGCCCTCCAGGCCTGCCTCCAGCCCAGCTTATGGAGGCATTTTGTCAACCAGGATTCCCTCCTCTCAGATGGCTGTAGCTTGTAACAAGTTGGAAGGACACACCCTCTCTTGGCCCCTCCCACTCTTTC